ACCTTACAGTGTGTACCACAGCTTCAACCCTGATCTTCCTCTTGAATTGGACATAGAACAAAACCTTAGTGTTTCAGCATTCTCGAGTTCGCATTCTGATAAATATTGATCATACCTGTCAGGATTTGACTACTAAGTAAGTAAGTATTTTACGAAATGTGTCAGAGCTGCGACTGTCTACAACTTCTCACGTTGTTTCCGAACCCTTCGATAAAGGTAACTGGCTCTTCAGCCACCTATCTACTGCCTGAAACTAGTTCCCATTTCAGTTCTGTATCAGCTGCCGAACCGTATCTTGAGGTGTTCTTCCAGAGTTGTGGGCTTGCGAACATGCCCCAAAGACACAATCCCACTAGCCGGCACCTCGAATAGTCCCTGATCGCTCAAGAATGCGACAACCTCTGGGAGGTACTCAAAGTTCCTAGCTCTGCCTTTCTCCTTGCGCAGTCTCGCAATCTCTTCCGCAAGCATCCCCAGGGTGCCTTGGCGCTTGACCTCAACAAAGGTCCCCGTCGCCTCCTCGTATGCCAACGCCAGTTCCTCAATCGTATTGACTCCAGAGCGCATTCTGAAGAATCCTCCCTTGCCCTGTTGAACGCCGTCCCCATTGATGAGGATCTCAATGGTCCATGCAGCAACGTCGTCTTGCGCCGTCCATGAATGCAACTTCTTGTTTCCCTCGCCCCAGTAGCGCATTTGAGGGACATCACCAGAAGTATCGAAACCTCCCGGCCCGTACGGCGTAAACAGGAGGTCAGCAAAAGTGCCCGTGAGAAGATACACCGGCTTGATTGAGCTTGTCATGGCGGCCTGTTGCTCAAAGGCAATATGAGCGTCGTAGTGCTCGAAATCGCCAAACTTGATCTTTGTCCAGTCATTGTTCCACAAGGAGGCCATAAAAACCTTGACGTTTGCCCGCTCGGCAGCCCTGAGGAGTAAGAGGCAACCGTCGAGATCCAGTAGAGGTGTCGGGTTGTAAGCGCAGATAATCGCATCAACACCGGCTACGGCCTTATCTAGAGCTGGGATATCATAGTAGTTGCGACTTGTGACGAAGGACTCCAGACTCTGGGCCAGCTCAGGACTCAATTTTGAGGGATCACGTCCCAGGCCCCTGACAGAGACACCGCGCTCCTTAGCAACCATTGCTAAGCGGCTACCAAGGCTGCCAGATATTCCGGCGATTAAGACGAGCATGTTGATAAGTGTAGGTAGTTGGTAGAAACTTGCGTTTGTGAGATTGATGAGTGCAGTTTAGAGCTCAATAGTACCGATTGGGCAGACGATCCTCCGCAACTTATAAGCGCCGGTGGGATACTACAGCGGGGTTTGCGAAATGATTTGCTCTCAAAGATGAAGATCACCACCCACTGCGCACTGGAGAAGTCCAGTTCAGTTGATCATGCTGGGATTACCATGGTGAACACCTCCAGTCATCGCTGATAACGTTATGTGAATGCCGTTTGTCGTGAGATATCTAACGTAAATTTCAAGTATGCTGATGAAGCTTTCTCCGATTTCAAATGCATCCCGTCAATAGTCCGTCAACCCGTGACGCGCTTCCCGTGGGTCTGTGGCGGTTATTCGATTTTGGCCATGCGTTCCGCGGATTCCGCGGGTAACCCCATTGAAGCCAAGAAATATCGAACGTCGGCAGACAACTAGGCCTTAATTGCAATACACAACTTGCAGTCGGGTTGGAACTTTACAAATCATTGGGTCAAAGATCGTACTAGTATGTCAGTCGCCAAGCAATCACCTGCCCGAAGTGAAATTCCAATCGCCGTCTCGGGGATTGGCCTGTTGTGAACTTCATGAAATTGGGGATCAGGCAGAAAAGTCTGATTTGTAATTTCCTAACATCTATCTCTCGGTCTTCTTTATGCAATCGAGAAAGTGCAATGAGTTAACCCTGAATGAGGCCGGGGAGAAATAATGGGAGAATGTAAATTGGGAATCCGCCAAGGGAATATGCCCGTAAACAAAAGAAATTCCCAAAATAAAAGCCACAAGATGGCTGACTCTCAATGGTCCTCTCCTTCATCCGTCCCTGAAGTAACAACCTTATGTGTGGCAATCTCGATTTCGCTGGCACCGTGACCCTGCTTCCACTCATCAACCAGACCACGGAAGTCAGCCGGTAGGTAGGGCGACGTAAGCTCCTGAAGGCGACTTGACTTGCGGTGTGTCTCTACTCCAAGATCCTTCATCAACATGTTGACGTATGGCAAGCCCTCAAAAACAAAGTCAGGAAGGTCGGCACCGTAGCCGCAGGGGTAACGCCACTTGCCCCATTGTGTGTGCAGCATAATCTCGTCCGTAATCTCCTGATCAGATGTAGGGAGACGATCCAGCTGGCCACCCAAGAAGGCGGCAATCCAGTGTCCTTGAATAGTGGCGCAGACTGAAGTGCTGACTGTTGAGATCATACCGGCAAAGGCGAGATCGCGAGAGCCCACCATTGTGGAGGGAACCATGAAGCGGTAGTAACGCAAGGGGTTTGCCTCCTTAGGGGTGAATCTCAGTTTCGGCTGATCTCCCAGCCGAGGGAAGAGCTCAAGAACTTTGGCGTCCGCTTCTTGATCTAAAGCCCGTTTCTCAGTCGCAGAGTATTTCAGGCCGAGCTTCTCCTCGTTGAGACCGGCAAACTTGATGGTCGACTCCTTCTTCCAGCCGGTGGAGCAAACAATCGCCTCAGTCTCGAGTTGCTCGCCAGAAGACAGGAAGACCTTGTTGCCCTCCAGTCTATCGATGTTGTCAATGTGAACCCGAATCTTGCCCTCCTTGACCAAATCGAAAAGACTGCTGTCGTAGTTCAAGATGCTAAGACCGCTACCGATCCAGAACGCCGAGTGCCAAGGCTTCAGCTTCTGAAGCTCAGGATGAGAGTCGTACGCGTTGGCCGAGAGAACATCGCCGCTCAGCACCTTCCAGAACGAATCGACAATGAAGCGGCCAAAGGTGGTTCCGTGGAGGAATTGCCGGACACCCGAGTAGCCGTCTTCGCCACCCCAAGGACACGGGCTGAACCATGACATCCAACGGATGTTCAGCAACTGGTCCATTCTCTTCTTGAAAGGTGTGACAAAGGGGGGCGCAATCCAAACAGGACCGTGGCCGTTGGGGCGAACGATCAGGTCTACCTGCGCGCCATCCTGTACCAAGGCATAGGCAACATCGAATGCAGACTTTGCCCCGCCTACGACTACGGCATTCTTGACTCCTTTGAGCTCTGATGCCCTCTTGCAGAAGTCCTTTGCATGAAACAGAGGCCCCGAGAAAGACTCGGCTCCTGAGTAAGTTGGAAGGTTCGGCGTCGAGGTCAGCCCTGTTGCCAGGATGAGCTTCTCAGTCTGGATAACGCGCTCTCCTGCCGGTGAGGCAACAGAAAGTCGCCATCCCTTCTCGCCATTCCTCTCCACCAGGTTGACAGCGGTATTAAACTGAATGCGATCGAAGAAGCCAAAGTGCTTGGCGAAATCGGTAAGGTAGCGGTGCAGGACCGCGCCCGGGACGTGGTTGTTGGGCTTGACGCCGTACACAGACTCGGACATGGGAAAGTCAGGGTACTCGTAGGTCCCAATCATGTTGTTCGACTTCAAGCCGGGGTAGAGGCGGTTCTTGGACCATGTTCCTCCGCAAGACTCGGCAGCTTCTAGGACAGCGAGGTTTGCGGTCGGGTGGAGTTGTGAGTAGGCCTTGGCGGCTGCGAGACCGAACCAGCCTTGAGAAGAGTGACTTGTCAGTGGCTAGAGTCTAGAAAGGAAAGCCAAAGTGGGCCTGAATTATACTTACCGGCACCGACGACGACTGCATCAAATGGACCCTCCATTGTAAGGCTTTCTAACGTGAAGCTCTGAGAAGCTAGGGACAGGAGACTTGAGTGAACGAGTGGCGCAAGACTCTGTTCAATTTCGAGTTTAGAGTCAAGATATAAAACGATGAATCATGAAGAGATCAAAGCCCATCTGCACATGAGACAAACCCAGCTTTACATATCGAAGCTGTCTGCCCATATCCAGTTACTGTCGAGTTACCCCAGATTGATGGCTGGTTGACAGGGGTTGTGTCAGTATTAGGCCGCCGCGGCAGGGTATGGGGATAGATTCCGGTGGTGCTTCCGGAACCACCAACACGCATTAGGAACTTATCGAAATTGGGCCCGTCAGCCCTTGTGCCTATCATGTCACTTACGAGAGATTGGTTGTCGAAATATGGATCAGGCGGCGGCGGAATCATTCCAGATTCGAGACCTTGACCGTCATGATCAGGCGTTGGTTGCGTTGCGTGGCGTCTGAGATACGACTAAGGTAACTCTCAAGGCCCCGTCGATGCGCGAAAGATGCACAAGTGTGTCTTCCTTGAGTATTGCAGAAGTTTTTGAAGCACACTTATGAGCGAGTATCTCATCAAATACGTGCGTTTACACGCGCAAACAAATTTCGAAGACACTACTACGGAGCACAGCCAGGCATCGAAGCATCAAGACACCGTCGGCCCATCGTTGCTCCATCTGGAAATGCGGCTACTGCTGAAGAATTCATGACAGGTACCCTTACCCATGTTCTCAATGATCGTCTGCCCCGTAACGTGGCTCAGCGAGTCCAAGCGCGCGTAACAGTGAATGTGGTGCTAGCCGGGGATTGTTGTCGCCGTCTGAGTGCTTATCACGGAACTTCCGAACGGAACGGAACGCACGCTCCTACACCATCCAACGGAAGCTCACCCCGCGGTACACCGGATACAAGGAATACAGCTCTAGGGCCTTGTCAGCTGTGCTCTATGCGCTAAAACAAGGTTTCCGTATCAAGTGTGACCATGCCATCGGAACGTCAAGCGCAACGCATGGTCCATCCCAGGTAATCCGTGTTGATCGCTTGAGTGCCTTGATTGAACCCCGAACTCAACGTATAGACTAGACTCGCAGCTGACAACCCCTAAACATTGCTCTTCAAGCTACACCGTTGAATCTGATACCACTACCACAAGACTTTCTCAGAATGTATGCGGATATCAGCAAGCCCCCTGCGCCACTGCCAAAGGCTGAACCACAGTGCATCAGCGAGGGCGTCACGTTGCTGCCGCCGCTCTCGCGCCGAGGCTACGGAAAGGGCCTCATTATACTGCAACATGATTCGACGCAACACCTGGACATTGTCGAAGGAGTCCCCTCTGCTCTCATCAAGTGGGCGGAAGAGGGTTTCGTCGTGGTGGAGATCCAAGCCAAGGCGTTGACTAATCCGAGCCTTGCCACAGATGTCTTGCAGACTGCTTTGAAAGCACTGAAAGACTGCAGCAAGCTGGAGAAAGATAGCAGGTTCGGAGTTGTCGGTATGTTTGTTGAGTGATTGTACCCTTCGGTATCGCAAAGACTGTTCACACGAACTAAGCCTCTTTCCAGCGTTTGACCCAACGTTATGGAATAAGATTGCTGGGGTGGCTTGCATCTTCCCAGATATTGTGGGAGCTGTTGTATATGCAGATTCCAGCGATGAGAGTACCCTCGAGAAATCCAAAATCCCCATGCTGTGTCACCTTGCTGGTGGCCAAGCACCGCCTGAGACAAAGAAGACCGAGGGCATCACCACGTATCGATATGCAAAGGCTAAGTCATTCAGGCTTGCGACGCCATTTCATGAAGATTTCGATTACTGGTCAGAGTCTCTGTCTCACACCAGAAACTTGACATTTCTCAAGTCGCTTATTGGCGGGCCTTATTTCGATCTTGAGGCCATCTGGGATGAGCATACATACTATGAGTTCGCGGACCGCTCTGTTGAGCATACCATGAGCACAATGGTTGATCAACCATACGTGAATCATGTTCCCACAGTAAGCGAAGTCAAATTGATCTTCTATGAGAGAGGCCCAGAATACGAAAGCTTCACAGCTAACACGTGCTCAGCTGACGGGTGGCATCGGACGAGGGCCATTGACACAATTCTACCGCAACAACTTCATTTTCAATAACTCCCAAGATACAGAGTTAGAACTCATCAGCCGCACGCTTGGTATTGACCGCGTCGTGGACGAGTTCATCTATAAGTTCACACATGACACGGTGGTCGATTGGCTGTGAGTGATCATCTATTAGGGGCATAATACTCAGAGACGAAAGCAGCTAACACCCCGGTGTCTCTCAGTGTCCCTGGTATCCCTCCAACGTACAAAAAGGTGGAAATACCCTTCACTGCTGTTGTGAATATTCGTGGCGACAGGTTGTACCACGAGCACATTTCATGGGACCAGGGAACCGTCCTGGCTCAACTTGGTTTGATGCCGCAGTACCTTCCCTTCCCATATCCGATCAAAGGCCAAGAGGATGGGGCAACTTTTGAGTACCGCGTGCCAGTCCTAGGGATCGATACTGCGGAAAAGATGAGGGATCGGAACTCTGTTGTATCAAACGACATGTTTAATTTCAAGGTGCGGAAATCATGAAGGAGCTATGGAAGAATCAACGGATACGGTAGAGGTTTAGGTTGCAGCTACTAATTATCCGATTCGGTCCTGCAATGATCAAGCATCTTGAGTCTAGGTATCCATGTCTTTTCATATGTCTGAGACGTCAAATACCGGTGGCGGCCTTGTAGACTCTGAAAATAATCGTCGATGTTATCATTGATCGTCATTCATCTCGTATCACATGGTAATTATAGATAATAAAAGTACAACCGCCAAGAGGCCCCTTAAGAGACTATGCCCTCAGCAAAACTGTTCTCGAGATCGCAATTTGGCCATTGCATCTGGAACTCATCGTCCCACCCAGAAGATCCATCATACATAAACTCCGATGCAGGAAGTACGTCGCCGTCCTTCCTGCCGTCATCATTCTCGGAGTCGGGCATCTCGATCATGCCGAACCCCATCAGACTCCCACGCACCTCCGCAAGCTGATCAGACAGTTGCCTTGCAGCCTTTGACCTCGTAACATAACTCGCTGCCAGTGCCACAGCCAGCTCGTAGCTGCGGCCCATAGCCTTGGACAGTCCCGGCGGCAGGCTAGCTAGTAAGGTTGAACGGTTCTGCTCCAGGGATGACGTCAGGACGAAACCGAGGGCGGAAGCTGAAGCCAATAGCTCTTGATAATAAGGCTGCTGCTTCCGGTAGATGTCTGTGTTGGCGTTCAGTGCGTAGAGAACGTCGCAGATATCAAAGAGGACTTCGATTGCGGGCTGCAGGTATTTCTTGCTCGTCTGTGTGTCGGTTCGTGAGAAGAACCACGGCTTGAGGAGGAAACTCCGGACGGTTTCCGCGCGCAGGTGGAGTAGTATGGGGAAAGAGGAAGGTTGCTTGGGAGGGCTTAGGCTCCATGTCTCAGGGTGTGTGATGGAGTAGTTGCCGACAGCTCGTTTGCGCCATTGCTCCAACTGGAAATTCATGAGCTCAAAGTTATCCTCGTCTTCGTATCGCTGGGCCTTTGTGGCTTGTGCCATAGGCCCTTCCAGCTTATTGCTGACGCGGATGAAGGACAGCATTGCTTGTATGTAGGGATGATCGGCCTTTTGGTGTGTTAATGCAGGTTGAGAATTTGATCAGAACGGTGTAGCTTACCGAGATAAGGTTGACAGGGCTGAAACTGGAGTCATGAAAGTTAGAGGGCAGGTTGGCTGCTGCACTCCATTGTCGGTCTAGGATGACAATGCTGGAGACCAGGGTGCAGAGTTCTGAGCGTAGACTCGGTGAGCTTGCCAGACGGGACCACGCTTCCTCGTTGTGTACTCCGAGCTCCATGAGCATGCGCCCGGCTATGCCACACATACGCCATGCAACCTGGGGCATATCATTGAAGTATTCGTAGCAGCCCTGATTGGTCTTGTCAGCGCTAGATGGAGTCGAAACGGAAAGTGGCTGCAACTGACCTTGAGAAGTATGATGATGACTTGCTTCATACTTGTGTTAGATTCGGTGATTCTGCTGTTCACAGCCTCTTTCATACAATCTACGATGAGCGCTTCGATATTGGAGCTTTCTGGCGTCGCTTCGGTGTGGAGTGCAATAGCCAAGGCAAGATTCAAGATTATCAAATCTTCCTCGGAAGCCATGTCCGACTTTTCCGTCACTATCTCCCAACTTGTCGAATCCGCATCCGCATAGAAGAACCGAGCATGGGCGATAGTCTGGTCGATGTCGATAATCGGGTGAAGAGCGCCGATAGCGTCTTGGTATACGCCAAGCATTTCGACCACTTCGTCGATGTTCATCAAAGACTTGAAGCGCAACAACTTTTGGGAATCGCTTGCGCCGGTCACAAGTGGGTTGAAAGAACTCGTGCTCTGCGTCAAAGACATGGCATCGTCATGGACCGACACAGTAGGAATGAAGTCGAGGCTGATCGGTTCTTCTTGCATTGGTTCGGGCGGCGTGTGGTATAGGCTCTCTCGGCGAACGCGTTTTCGGGCAACCTTCATGGTCTCCTCCGGGCTCGGCAGGCCGTACAGCTGCCGAGGCGGGGAGCACGTTGACGGCCCGATTGACTCAAGGCAGTTTTCGAGGACTCCAGCGTCAGTTATGAGGGCTGAAAGGAAATCTTCGGGTGTTTGGTTGCCCATTGTGAATGCCGGGGATGGTTGTATGGCGTTCGCCACCTCGCTAGGAGTCTGCACGCGGGATGCGAGAGTGTTCAATTGGTCTTGAAGACTTGATAAGAGTTTCATGATGTTGTCCTGGTTATTGGACGTTGACGAGGTCTCTCGCCTTGATTGATCGGACTCGGTAGGAGAATCATCGGTAGCCGTCGCAGTCGGGACGGACCACATGCCGTCATCGGAGCCGTAGATGCTGTCGAAGACGCAGGTCTGCTTACGTCCTGCGCAGTACCTGCATGGTTGCCGTCCGTCGCATTTCCCCTTTCGTCGGCGACATGCCTCGCAAGCGCGCAGTGCATACGGCGCTCGTCGTCTTCCCGTCTCTCCGCTCTGTGGGCTTGGTCTCTTTGCGACGCGGTTCTCTTTCGGTTGCGCCATGGTGTCTTTGCTCCGTGGCATCGCAGGGTACTTTAACCTCAAACGTAATTGAAAGCAGATGGTTTCCAGGTGGATATTGCGCAAGTAAGTGAAACGATGACGTTCAGTATGCAGGCCACACAATGATCGAAAGGATGGAAAAGCGGTTCTTTCAGAGAGAAATGCCGGGGGATGGAAGAGAACCAACACAATCGAATAGGAGAGGGAAGAGATAAGCAGACAGATTGTCAGTCGGCTATGTTCCTCTTGATAGCGGCAAAGCGGGACTTCCTACGATTACGGGTTTAGCCTAGGGTCCCTTACCCGCTAGAAATGTAGAATGCGGGGAAGAGATAACGGGGCTTTGACGATTGGTTAAGATGGGATAATCCCCATGATTCTCTTTCACTAAGTTTTGATCCGTGTCGCCCGGCACTCCTTGCTTCAGGGCTAGTCCTTGAACCATGCCGGATCTGTTCAAGAGCTGAACAAGTCTGCCACAATTCGTAAGCAAAGCACCACATCCGAAATCCGCCAATGCTGACTTGTTGGATCTGGCAGAATGCCGCTTCCGGGGTTTCAGCGTGGTGTTTCCGCGTGGTCCCTGCCACGCCTGCTTAGCATCAACCACAACCCGCTCTGTCGTCCTGCGGGTAGGAACGCTTTTCTTGAGACTACCTACATAAACTATACCGCAGCTAACCAGATGAACGCCAATGCCGCTGGGTTTAGTGTTTATAGATTTTGGTTCAAGACATACACATCAAGTATCTGTGAGGAACCTGGATATGGCATCAAGTCTGAGTCCCCGGCTTATGGTACATGCACTAGTGGGCTGTGAATCAAATGGCTCGATCGCTCGCTTCCTGAACCCCCTGGTCCGTGGGAAGCGCGGGCGTCTATGATCCATTCCTGGATGTGCGCTTCTGGTCGCCCTTTCACGAGACACAGCTCCAGCGGTAAAGTGCACTTCATACCAACATTCAATCTCATCGTCCCTGTTCTTGTTGTCCATCTTATACAAATACTTCGGAAGTATCAGCCCGGAAATACAACAAGTTTATCCATAATGACTATTGTCAAAATGGGGTAGACCTCATCTATGAAGCTGTTAGCGAGGTTAAGCATTTAAAAGAGTAGCTGAACGACCCACGGGGGGCGGGGGGCAGTGTTTGCTTTTTCGAGATCTACCCTGCAATGACGGCAGCAAATGTTCAACCGGCCATTTACACACATCATGACGCTTCTTGTCGCTGCTAGGGAGAGTTTCCAGCCAACCACACGGCGATTAAGGGACCACCGACGAACACTCTCACCCTGCATACGTGGGGGAAATCGGAGCGAAGTCTCGTATTCGCGGATGTAGCTATGACGACACATTCAGTAATGCCCAAACATATGTTACCGACGGTGTGAAGAGATCTTTCCTTGAAGTAGTAATGTCGTGACGCTCATGAGTGTTACCTTGATACCCAAGAACCTACTACCGATAACCCTATTGCTTAGACAAGCAAACGCAGTAAGGTCTTACAGGCTGCGAATAGCAGGCCGTTGTAATCATCTTCCAGGCGACAATAAGATCAACCCCCACACATCGTATCGCGTGCGCGGGCTCCATGGACTTGAGAAACCGTTCAGAGTACGAGCTCTTCACCGTGATAATAATCTGCCAAACACTCATGTTGGCTAAGTCGATGAAGAGTAGTCGAAGCTTCCATCGGATTCGTGAGATGACCTGGAAGCTGCAAGGAGAAACTCGCTCTGCACAAGTTCGCTAACATCATGCAAGCAGTAAATACAGTATTCGGACCTGTTCAGCGCCGTCGGCACCTTGACGAGCTGTTCCGTAATCTTTAGTGTCTGAAAGCTGGCCCGATTCGTGAACTCGAAGAACATTTTGCCAAACGAATATTAGATCTTATTCGGCAGCATTTACTCCTTACGAATGCCTCCCTGATGCTGGAGATCATGCTTCGTTGATGATACAAAGCGAGGCAACGTTCGAGAGTAAGCACAATTAATTTGATATGCGATTGAAGGCTGCTGGCGGAGTTATTTAGCTTTTCGATCAATGATGAAATGATCCGGTCGTAACTCCCAGACGATAATTAGTTCCGCTCGTGGCCACCAAATGGACACAGCTGAAGGCTGTGAGCAGCACGTCACAGATGCAATATCCAAGGAACTCGAGACACCAGTGAGGCTCAGGCAACTGAGAGAGCTTTCCACGTTATATGCGGATTTGGCTATTAGCCTTGATCTCATTTTCGAAATGATTGGGTTCTGGACCGGTATCAGTCAAGAAATGCATCTACTAGAAGAAAGAAGCCAAGAAAGTCTTATCTCTCTGTACGCTTCCTTTCTCTTGGGTCATTCCACTTCAAGTCTCAATCTTAATACTAATCTGCGCCTCTATTCAAACCACGTTCGCTTCCTCTTGAGTTGACCCAAGGATTGTTGATGGAGCAGCTTGAGTCGTGTTGGTGTTTTCTGTAA